TAAATTAAAAATAAAAATTACTATTTTGTAATCCTTATTTTCAAATATTATTGTGTAAAATTTTTTTTAAATATTCTAAATTTCTATAAAATTAGATTATAAACTACTATTTTAAATTTAAGCGCTCATATATGAGCGCTTATTCTGACGGTTTAAGAGATAGCATTTTGTTTTAATTATTAAAGTAATTGATTAAAAAAATTTTTATGAACTATAAAAAGAATTTATATTTAAACTAGAAATCAAAAATAGTATAAAAGATATCAAATAATTCTTGATGAATATTTAAAAAAAAACAAATTTAAATCTCTTATTGCTTACTAATCTAAATCATGTTACTGTAGTAATAATTATTCGAATTTAACCCATAAAGAAGATAGAATCGAAAAATTCAATCTAAAAATACAGTACGCATTACTTAATTATATCCAATATTTTTTTTCAAAATTGATTTAATACTAGATAGTTACTTATTTGTCACTGCTTTATCATTATATAACCTCAGAGGCTATAATATCATGCAGTAGTTTAATTTATTATCTGATTTATATCATTTGTACGTATTAGTGTTTCGATTCTAATTTTTCGGGTTAAATTCGGATCCTCTTTGGTGTATCCGGATAACAATCGAATTTAGGTAAATCCGAATTCAATTATTAAATCCGAATTCTATCTATGTTTACATGGTTTACTAGTTTACCCATAGCTTTGCTAAGACTATTTCACGTGTAAGTGATGCCAAATGACCTTTATCTAATAGAAGTTACTTTTAATTGCATGATTAGAAATTAAATCCTGTAAGGTTAAATGATTAAAGGCATAAGTGCCCTTACAGGTTTTCGTTTGGCATCCTGGATTTAAGAAATAATCTCTTTATTAATGCACAGTATTCAACTTGGTAATAATTCTTATGGTTTTTTTTTAATAACAATTAGATTATTATTTAGTTTTAGCAGATGAATATAACTATTTTTTTATTAATCCGAGTAATTAATATAAACAACTAGATTCATGAAAAGTTATTATTTTAAATACCTTTTCGTTCGCGTTTATCGCTAGCGTAAGTTCATTATTGATAGGATCGACATAATTTAAGGAGATTATTTATTATAAAGGGCGAGTATTATTTACTGATCAATAATTTAATAAAATATAAAGTCATGAATGCAGCATAATAATGCGACGCAATAATTTTCCTTTCAACCATAATCAACATTTACGTCTCTCTCAATCCAGTTCTAGCTAACGTATTTATCATCAAAGCCTATCATTTGTGACCAATCACAAAAAATTTCTAGGATTATTCTTATCCATAATCCGTTATAAATTAGGATACATCCGTTAAAAATTAACAGATACGAATATCCGCATTTAATCCGAATTATCGGACCCATTCGAATTGGTCGGATTACAGATCGAAACACTAGTACATATTATACAAATACCTGCTAATTGAATTATTCATATATTGGAATATAAAGTAATGGGAGGTATAATGGCGCAGGGATGTGGCGCATTAAAAAGTGAATTGAATTTCGTCTACTAAGTAAGGCTATTAGAAATGCCATGTTTTAGATACTGTTACACTCAAACCACCTCTAAACGGTTCGATGCAACTGGGGTTTGATAATTTATAAATGTCTCACGTGCTTAACAGTTCAAGACGTGAATCTAAATAGAGGTTTTGTAGTGATTTGCAATTACGAAAGAGGCACACAACTAAATGCATATGAAGATACAGATAGTTGTAATTAGATTCCATTGCGAGAAACTATCGATTTGGGGGTAATAGGGTTATTTTATACATGTGACTAAATAACTATAATATCTATAAGTTATACTACATCTATTTTGACTAATAGGGGACGCTATTAGCATTAATAGCATTGTGTTTTTGATACTCTTGCAACTACTTTTTTGATACTGATCGACCGACATGTAGATCCCGGTAAAAATAAAACTTTTTAAAAAATTTGAGCGAAGATATCTTGACATCTACCTGCTTGAATCTAATAAAACCTTTTCGCTTTGAATTCTAAGTACGTATAGAATTCAAATAAAAAAGTTTTATCGAACTTAGCCATGTGGTTGTCGAGATATCTTCGCTCAAAATCAAAACGCCTATCAAAATAAGAGTTGCGCAAAATTTTCTCTAACTTTGAGCGAAGATATCTAGACAACCACCTGGCTAAATTCAATAAAACTTTTTTTGGTTGAATTCTATAAATCGTAGAATTTAAATAAAAAAATTTCATCGAATTTAGTCAAGTGGATTTCGAGATAACTTCGTTCAAATATAGAAAAAAATCAAAACGTCTATCAAAATAGAAGCTACGCCAAATTTTCTTTCTAACTTTGAGCGAAGATATTTCGATAATTATCTAACCAAAATCAATAAACATTTTTTTATTCGAATTCTATGGATTTATAGAATTCAAATAAAAAAAAAATTTATCGCATTTAATCAAGTGGTTGTCGAGATAACTTCGCTCAAAGAAAAAATCAAAATGTGTATCAAAATAGAATCTACACCAAATTTTCTTTCTAACTTTGACGAAGATATCTCGACACCCACTTGACTAAACGCAATGAAATTTTTTTATTTAAATTTATGTATGCATATAATTGAAAGAAAAAAAAGTTTTATCAAATTTGGTCAGACCATTATCGAGATAACTTCGCTCATAGTGAGAAAGAAAATTTCTATTTTGATTGGCACTTTATTATTCTCTAATTTTGAGCGAAGATACCTCGATACCACTTGACTAAATTCGATAAAAAATTTTATTTGAATTCTATGAATCTATAAGATTCAAACAAAAAAAGTTTTATCGAATTTGGTCAGATAGTTATCGAGATATCTTCGCTCAAAATTAGAGAAAAATTTGGCGCAGCTTCTATTTTGATAGGTGGTTTGATTTTTCTCTAATTTTGAGCGAAGATATCTCGACAACACATGGCTTAATTAGATGGAATTTTTTTTATTTGAATTCTGTGAGTGCATAGAATTCAAATCGAAAAGGTCTGATCAGATTCAAGCAGGTAGTTGGCGAGATATCTTCGCTCAAAGTTTTTAAAAAGCTTTATTTTAACCGGGATCTACATGTCGATCAGTATCAAAAAGTAGGTTCATGAGCATCAAAAATGAATGTTTTGCTTATTAGACGAAACTAGTCACATGGTTAACAATCATTGAGGTCTCGTGACTGGATTGTGCTTTCGGGACTTGGGACGATTTCTTGGTCTTCAAATTTTGATACGATTTGGTTAATTTTTCATTAATCAACTTTTGCGTTATTCTTGGGAGAAAAATTCAGTTTTTGTATTAAATTTATAACAAAATTTGATTAATAAAAAGTTAACCAAATCACACCAAAATTTGAAGGTATCTAAAAAATGCCATTTTCAATAACTTTACTTAGAGGGTGAAACAATTCGCTTAATAAAAAATCGTGTTTTATATGAATAAGAAAATTTATGTTCATGTATACGTAATACAGTAATAGGGACGATGATCCGGCACATTACCCTCCCGACTTAAAATTTTCAATTTTTTGATGATTTTAACGAGTAATAAAATAATATGTATTTTATTATCAAAGTTTTTTTAAAAAAATTTAATTAAAATACATTGGTAGAAGTACAAGTTTGCAAATTTTGTAAATGATCAACTCTCTTTTGAAAAATTATGTTACCAGTTGTTCTTAACTATGCCATTATGCCTCCCGTTACCTTATATTAGATAACAAATAACCACTACAGTATGCGTATTAAGTAGTGCATTTAATTTATAATGAACTAGACTTTAAGTTTTTAGACAAAAGCTTAAAAAACATTTGTGTAATTTATTGAATGAAAATTTCGGAAATTCCATTGACAGTGCTTAGAAATTCACATGATATTATTAAAATCATTTACTGTACCTGACTGCTAAATATGAATTTGCAGAATTTTCGTGAAAATTTAGTGACTGGCACTGATAAGATTTTCCATTTGTATATGATTACAAAGCCACACTATAAATTTTGTAATAATATTTCCTTTTTTTAGGGGTCGTCTAAAGCCAGGTAGTTTTTAAATTGATTATTAACAAATTCGTAAATTAAAAATCACGTGATGCATATAAATTACTACCTGGCTTTAGACGATCCCCTTAGTTAGTAGTGCAACAAAATAAAAAAAAACTAGCAGGTCATAAATCTTTATACGTAAACATATACGTAATTGCGCTTAGTTGTGGAAAATTTTAAAATTTTGTTGCGGTCTGCAGACCCTGCAACCCTATTTTCGTAAAAATTCAAGTTTTGCACATATGACAATCGCAGATGCAACTCCTTCTATCTTTGACTTATTTAAGTGCTGCCAAGAGAAAATCTTGTGATTTTTAACGTTAAAGCTTGTAAGATTAAACCCCTTACATCATTGAAAAAACGGTGTTACCCTTAACAAAACTATACATTAATCATGATCATGATCACGTTGCGCAATACTCTGTACATACGTACTACGAAATCAAGAGATACGTACATACGTACGTACCAAGATTAAAACAAAAAAATGTTGAGAATTTAAAACTATTTTTCATGATTTAATTCGCGCAATCACGTATAAAATTTGTAAATAATGACAACATTAAAAGAGATCATAATAATAGTTAATATTTTTTTTAAAAAATACAGAAATCTATAAGAGACTCATTAAATCATTTAGAACTAGATGATACATCCTTTTTATTACCCCAAAATAATAATATAAAATAATAAAACATCGACTAGAAATTTTGACAATAAATATGAATATGATTAAATACATAACCAATACTCTATATAGCTAAAAGGATTTTGAATACACAACAACTAAGAAGTGGAAGGACTATTGCTTGAAAAATATGGCCTAGATTTTTCCATTGCCGCAAAATAACGATGTGGAATATGATTTCGAAGCATCGTGAGTACTGGTAATTTAAGTATACCCTCATAAGGAAGTACAGTTTGGTTATAAATAGGAGAATTATTATTCACTGGTTGATTTGTCAAAGATTGTTGTTCATCATTAAACATCGTTTTCCAATCATTCCAAGTTAAAACCTGATCAATTTTCCTGCTTTTTGCTGAAGGATTAAAAATGCTTGGATCACATGAAGGTTTTTTATTTCTATGATAAAATTTGACCGTATCTCCTACATGAAAATAATTTAATATGTCATTTTCGGTAAGGTATTGGCGTAAGAAACGAAAATGACCATTATTTGGAGGTAAATGTGGTGCAATATCTAGTTCACTAATTATACGCCAAAGTGTTGTATTACTTCCGTTATATAACGAAGAGAATTCGGATGAAAAGTTACTATCACCAACGGCTAGGGCTGCAAATGAATAGACATCTCTGAGAACGCAATCATCACTCAAAGCTCCAGGTGCTTTTAATAATCTCGAATAAAATAATGTTGCTAAAGAAGCTCCAAGAGAATGACCTGTTATCCAAATATTAACAGGTTCTGTTTTCTTATTCTTTACACGAATTTCTTTGGCTTTGGCATTAATAGCTTCCATTATTCTCATATGAGGATACCCTTTTTTTGATAATAATGAACCTGCGTTATCCTTTGGGAATAAGCAGTTATAGAATCCTTCATGTACTCCTCCAAATAAGAAGCTCCTTCCATCCTTTCTTTGAAATGTAAAGTTAACTACCAATTCTAAAAAATTTGTTGGACTCGTTCCTTTAAAAGAAACTACAATAAAATTTTGTTTGACACTCCAAAATAATCCTGCATAAACTCCTTTAGAAGTGCTTAATTCAGATACAGATTTGAATTGAATATTCCAATCATTTACAACCTTACGAACTCCATCATCAGCATTTTCTAGTGCTTGAAAAACATTTTCAAGATCACCTACTTCAACTTGTTCTTGTTTACTTATCTTATTTCGAATTTGCGATAAATTCGTTACAGCTTTACGAACCTCTGTTTCTTCCCGAAGATAGACAATAGAGGATAAGAACAAGAGTGTTTCCGCCAAATCAAGATTAAAGTTTGGTAGTTGAGAAGTATGTGGTTTACCCAATGCTGCTATACCTCTTTCCCTAATTTTGGCTTATAAAATAAATGCGTGTTAGATTGATATATTATTTATTGAATAATTGGATTATCTTTTTATAGATAATTAAAACTATAATTACATAATCTTTCGGTGGTTAATTTTTGCCAACCGGCTTCGTCATATAATTTAAAATTCATTCCAATATAATTCGCAATACTTAAAAACAACGTTGCAGGGAGAAGAAAGAGTATACTCGTAAGATAAATTAAAATAATCAATAAGAAATTGAGTGGTTGTGTAAGTGGCATAGTCCAATTAGTAACAAACATTAGAACTATGTGAAGATAAACATCTCTGAGGTAAACGCAGAATGTTTTGGTAGAATCAATAAAAGGTTCAAACTCTTTTAACGATTCAGGAAGATAACCTTCCTTTGGTATGCTAAATAGATCATTAATATATAATTGATCATCTATCGAAATTGCATCACTCATATTAAAAATACGAGCTGAAGGATCTTTTTCGTTTAAGACCGAAGATTTATTCGCCATTTTGAACTTTCGCTTGTAATATTAAAACGTTAGAAACTTTTTATGACCCTTCGATACTTGGGACACTTGGCGTGTGAAATAGAATTAGTTCTATAGAATATGATTCCAATTTTTAAATTAAATGTTAAGATCTGCAAATGAAACATCCCTGCGCATGAAAATTTCTTAAAATGTCAAGCATTTTCCTTATTCATTGTTCCAAGACCAACAAAGATGCATTTTTTAATTGGAAATCAACTCTAAATATAAATAAGATGTGCACATCATTATTGTTTTATACGGACAAAACTCCGTTGTCTTGTGATATCACAACAACTAAATTTGATAAACATTGATAAAAACCTTTTTTGTTTTACAAATAAAAATTTTTTTTCGCTAATGACTGTCTTATTTTAGATTACTAGAAAAAATTCGGTTACAAAAAATTTCTGATATTTATGTAAATGGTTAATAATAAAACAAACAAACAATTAAAAAACAATTCATTTCGAATTTTAACACGAGCGTAATTTTTTTTACATACGTCTCGTTTAAATATCCTATTCACACAAAATGCAAACAGGTAAACGACAAATCTCTTCCAGCTCCTTACATGAGACCACATTATGATGTGTGGTCATCGGATCAGGTTATGGTAGCTCTCTTAGAAAAAGGCTAATATTTATGTCTATCAATTCCTATCTTAATTCTAATTCCGATTACGTATTGTGCATAAATAAAAATAAAGTTAATTGATAACGATAATTCATTCTAACCAGGTTTGGAAAGATGGCATGAGAATACCCAACTTAATTTACCGATTATATTCAAAGAAATACAATACAGTTCCGCCCCTGGACATAGGGTAAAAAAACCGGAATGTACCATTTTTATGTTGGATCTGATCAATAATAAGATATAATAAGGATACAAAACCTTTTTAGCGTAATTTCAGAATTTATATATGATTTTCATTATAATTATAGATTTGGCCATAAATGCAAACGTGGCGTTAGAAGCAGATCCGTGTGTTTGGAAAATGCCTGCTTGGCCAAAAGCGATATGTGAGTCACGTGAAGTTTTATTAGTGCCACAGTATTACAACATAGCGGGCTTTCTCTGTGATTGGCTATTTTTTTGTAGATCATTTTTATGGAGCGCAGCAATTTCGCCCAATCAGAGACAGCGTAGATCATATATTACCGATTACATCGATATTACGGTGAAAAATACCACCTATTGTGTCATAATTTAAAATGGGTTATCTAAATTGTACAGAAATTTAAAATGGGTTGCGCTAATGGGAAAAATGGGTTAAACGTATAGGAAAAATGGGTTAGACGCATTGTTATTATAGATCGAAGTGCTAATAATTTTTTTAAGCGGTTCAATCTTAAAAAATAAATGTGGGACCAAAAATTAGTTAAATTTGACAAATCCGCCGTAATGTTTTATTATTAATTGATTTATTAATTGATTTATTGATATTATATATATCAGATTTATTGATTCAAAGTAATAAAGAATGAGAGTTTTTATTTTAAAAAATTTATATTTTTTTATTGAAAAAAAAAGTTACAATTTATGCACTTGTTAAATTACTCATTGCCCTATCGAAAAGTACATCTACATTACTATCTAAAGGTAAATTTTCGCCACCCATATCGGTATTATCAACGGCCATACTATCATTATCCGATTTACTTGTATTCGTAGCCGTGGCCATACGATCAAATTTGTTTAGAGTTTTCTGATAACTCTTACAATTTTCTTCAATACCGCTTACAAGATACTCAGTAAAATGCTTACATTGACTTTCTAACCTAAATAAAAAACATTCATAGTGATAAGCATGCCTACATATTAAAACATAACCTACCTCATGATTATCTGCACAATCCTCAAAATCACAATATTTATCTTCTCTGGGTGGGTATGCTGTACTCCAAGCCATCGCCAGAATTTTAACATCAACTTGAGCTTCAAGTGTTGGAAGCTCATATATTTCTGGCTGCTAATCTGTATTGTCTGAAATAGCTTTCGAGCTGCCAAGATTTCAATGGACATTTGTGAAGAAATTCAACAGAAATATTGCAGTACACTTCTCAAGATACTCTAGCTGTTTTGCCGAATATGAAATATTGCAGTATGCTTCTCAAGATACTCTAGCTGTTTTGCTGAATATCTGACAATGTGATTCTCGGAAAAAGCATCAGTGAAAGAATTTCCGCTGCGCATCTGGTCTATTACTTGTGCCTGTCAAATAATTTGTTCTGGAGTATTCGATTTCTGTATTTGCCATCGAAGTAAGCTATGGAAATTCTCTACATAATAATCATTAAAAACCTTCAAAAGCTTGTGAAATAGGATGGTTAGTACTAGACCAAAAAAAAAATATCATTAAAAAATGCTAATGGCAATTTTTTATAATTTTTACGCTTATATTGATAAAAAATAGCCCAAATATGAAACAATGCCTCCTTGAATGCCATCCAATTTCCACTACGAAATATGACGGGATAGAAATCCAAAACCAGCGGAATAATGTTATCTAACAAGTTTATGAGGTATCTGGCTTCTGGGTCTTTGGACCATTCGAATTTTCGCAGAATCATTGAACGTACTCGGAACCATCCCTGAAAAGCTAATTCATGTAATAAATTAATTTTATAAGGTTTTGGCTTTTGTGCCAAAACCTTATTACATCCAAACACCTCATGAAAAAGTTTGTCAAAAAATGCATAATTTTCAAGAAATACAGTTTCACGACTATTTAAGGATATATGCAAAGGCCCAATCATTGGGACGATATACAAAATTTGCTCTGGTATTTCAGAAGAATCACCTGGGGTAGTCCATAGGTGCCACAAACACATGAGTTTCTAAATAAGTCCTTACTTCTGAAACATCTATGAGATGTTTAAGCGTATCTACATATTCTAAAGTAGAATAAAGAGACTCTTCTTTTAAATCTACTAGTTTCATATTTTCCATGCTTCGATCAGTCCGACGTTGTTCAATTCTATCATCATAGCTGTGAATTAAGAGGCGTTCGACTCGTTCATCATGGGTTGATGGCACGGTAATCAGATTAATGAACGATTGCCTTCGACCTGTATAGCTAAGCCATAAATAAGGAAAGAATAATATATGAGCATTTGGTATTATAATGTTTACATCTATACCTCTCTCATTATAAAGACTTTTATCTTGACAAAACGGAATAGACGTTGTTTCCGGCAAGGCTTTAGGAGAATTGTGGCAAAATGAGCAAAGTTGTGCGTAGACGTTGTATCACTACGATAATATTGATGACAATTATGAAAATCATCTACGTTAAGAACAATCAAGTTATCGATCTATGATGTATTAAAAAAATAAATTAAATTAAATTAAATTAAAAATAAATAAAATATGATGTAATAAAATAATTAAATTAAATTAAATTAAATTAAATTAAAAAGTAAAATAAATAAATAAAAAATAAAAAAACTTATATACATTTTCCAGTAAAAATTCACCCACTTTCGTAGTATACGCTTTCATGTATTGGACCTTATGCCTTCCAATTGTTTTACGTCTTACCATTACACCCACATTGGCCAAAGTTTCAATTATTGAGGAAGACGTGCCTGCTGTATCTAGTAAAAACCCAACCTCTGCCTTAATCCCATGAATAAATTTATTATTAAGTCCTGATAAAAAATAGCAAAACAAAACCAATCTTTTTTTATTTTTTTCATTGATCATATGGCTTTTTGGTTCCAGCAACTAGTTGACCAAAAAAGCCTTTCAAAGACGATTCAGATTCTTAAAGCATTTTCTTGAATTCTTCTGGGTCAAGAATAGGCCTTTTATTATATGAACACTGTCTTGTATATAATACCCCTGCCATTAATTTAATTTTCTTGCTAAGAGAAATAGACTCTAAAAAAGTAATTGAAGTAAATTTTTAAATTTTAATTTCTTTTTTTATTTATTATTATTATTATTATTTTGGAGTTTAAAGTATTTTTTTATTTAAATATAATTTTCTTACCTAGATTCGCTTCGTTAAACTCTGCGCAAACTTCATGATACGCAGATTCCAGCTCCTAAAATTGAGATTAAGAGTAAATAATATTACTTTATAATACATACGACCTACCCTGAAAATTTCCAATATTATTTTTTGAAACTTTTTCTATTGGCAGTGGATAGTTAGACAAATTGATATATTCTGGATCATCATCAGTTTTGTATAAGCAATGTGACACATCATTGCTTCTTGTGGCAGTTCAAAGAAATTGATTAAGCGTTCTGGAGTCTTCTTTAGACTTTTTGCCTTTGTATTTTGCTGAGCTGTAGAAAGATAAACCTGATGTTTTGGATGAGAACATACCTTATTTGTTTTAGCCTTTTTAGCAGTATTTACAATCAATTTATTGTAATGCTTTCTGCACAGAGCCTTTCCAACCAAATTGAGATGTTGACTGAAGCTTGGTATTAGTATCTGATCAGACACAATAGAAGCCCCGTGCTTCTCATAATCACAGATGACATCTTCTTGGCCTTCTAAATCGCAGTATGGGCCTTCCTTTTTTGCTATGTAGATATTCTTACTTTGTACTCTTTTTTCTTAATGCTAGTAATAAAAATGTAAGATAAACGCTTCTTAGCTAACTTCCGAATTACTTAACCGTTACTCAAATTACTTTGACAGTTTATAGATCTGAAGGTATTCTTTCAATTTTTTTTGGTATCGAGCTTCACCAATTCGTATCCGTGGCTACCAAACCATTTTTGTATCTGCAAAACGTTATGCCAATATGTAAAACATATTGTGTAACATATCATTTCAATTATCAAATCAAGTAATGCCTGCTATGTTCAGTATTATGTCACTTAATACGTATCTTGTAAAGGTTATAAACGAGCCAAATAACTCTCCTGAACTTCTAAAACTTAAGGCTTTAAAAGAACAAGCTAGAAAGTTAGGCTCTGAATTTCATGAGAATTTTAGTCGTCCGCCTATTGCTGTCACTTTTGAAAACCGTGCTAATAATGCTGAGGTTAAGCAATGATGATCCATATTGACGGGTAATGATACTTCAGGGATTAATGCTAAAGTAAAAATACCACTTTGATGAATTATATTCCTGATACTTGGATTAAACACATTAAACAAGATAAAAAAAACTAAAAAATAGGTCATGTTTTATGAATAGTTGGATGTAAGTATTACTCATTTTTTTATCAAGATATTTACTAAATAAAATATTTCACCTATATTCTGTTTATTAGCTAATAATAATCATAACTCAGTATCTTTTGTAACCACTGATATTGTTTTTGTCACTGCTAGTACTTTAGGAACCACTGAAATACTGCTTCATTCTCAAGCAAACGGACTTGAAATTAGTTCTCAATTAGGTGATGTATATATTTTTTTATATTTTTTAAAATAAATATTGTACAATGATAAAATATAATTTATACTAGCGTGTAGGAGCTGGTGTTGCTCGGGTTCTAGTTTTTAATTTTTTGCTAATTCTTAGGTTTATACATTTAAATTAAATCTTAGAACCTAGTTATTGCCTCAGGTTTGAGATTTTCAATTTTTTTTTAATTCTTTATATTATATTAGAGGTATTACTTGGGTTCTAAAATTAATTATAAATTATTTATTATATATATATATATATTAATTATTACTTTTTATTTTTTTTTATTAAATTATATTTCTTTTCTTTTTATTAAATTATTATTATTATTATTATTATATTAAATTATTGCCTTTTTTAGAAAAAATTATTGTTTTTTTAAATTAAATTTTTATATATTTTTTTTATTTATTTTATATTAAATTATTGCTTCTTTTTTTAAAAAATTATTGTCTTTTATTTTTTATTAAATTATTATTATTTTTTTTATTAAATTATCATATGTTTGGTTGTTTTTTTATTAAAAATATTATTTCTTTCTTTTTTTTATTAAATTATTATTTTTTTTAAAAAATTTTATATTATATATTGGTTTTTAAATTATTTATTTTAAATTATCATAAATAATTGTTTCTAAAAATTATTATCATTATTATTAAATTTTTTTTCTATGTTTTGATTTTTTAAATTTTTTTTGGGTTTATTTTTTTTTCCTTTCTAAATTATTATTTTTTAAAAATTATTTTTATTATCATTTTTTTTATATAATTTACTGAATCTTTGATATTTTAAATAAAACTTCAAAAGACAGTTAAATAAGTATGCATCAATCAAATTTCTTCAAACTGTCAACTCAAAATTATTACTTGATTTTGATTAGTTAATGGCTGCAGACTGCAAAATCTGGCCCATATTATATAATTGGTTACTAATTTCCAGCCATTGTTAACATTTGATTTTTTCATTACAAAAATAGAAATTTTGGAAAAATAATCACACATTATGATAAAATTGACCCAAGAACAATTTTCACTTAATAGGCTTGGTGATTTTATTAGTAGAATTCTTAATCATTGCTCTTAGCAAATCAAAATTAAGAATCTGCCATGAAATTTTGTTGTGGCAGCTAAGGTTATTAAGAAAGCTAGATATGTATAACATGAAAATCATATTTTTTAAAAAACTATCAATATGTAACTTGAAATTTCAACTATTAAATAAAACTACATTCTGTACTCTAATATAAAAAATTCTAATTTCTAATCTAACTTTAATGTATATTTTTTACTTTAAAATATTACACATATTGAAATTAGTTTGATTCATCAAAAAGATCTAATTGGTGCATGTTGATATCTTAAGCTAATAAAATTAAAAATCTCTAGTAATAATATTATATACTTTTTTCGAACTTTGAATGAAATCATCTTAGCAATTACCTATCTAATTCTATCAAGGTTTGAAAAAACTTAACTGCTGATTTTGGTTTAATAATTAGCTAAATTCTTTTTAACTTCGAACAATAATTTCTCAACAGCAAAATTGGTAAAGTTTTTTTATATTAATTCCATGAAATAAAAAAAACTTTCATTAATTCTGATTCTTATTGTAGTTTCTCACTGAGTTTATAAGCTACTGTGCTTAGATTTGATTAGACAACTTCAATGATCATCAAACATAAATTATTAAACATTTAAAAGCAAAAAGGGCGATTGAATTCATTTTTTAAAAAATCTTTATCAAGATTTGGAAAACCTTGACTGCTGATTTTGTTTTAATAGTCGGCTAAATATTTTTTAACTTTGAACAATAATTTCTTAACAGCAAAATCAGTAAAGCTTTTTTATATTAATTTCATGATAAAATAAAAAAAATCTTCATTGATTCTAAATATGCAATACACGATTCTTACTGTAGTTGCCCTCTAAGTTTATAAGCTACCATACTTAAATTTAATTAGACAACTTCGATGATTATTGAACATGAATTATTAAATATTTAAGAGCAAAAAGGGTGATTGAATTTATTTTTTAAAAAATTCAATAATATATTAGCCCTAAAATTTCTATCATGGTTTGGAAAAACTTAACTACTGATTTTGTTTTAATACTTTTTAACTTCAAACAATAATTTCTCGATAGCAAAATCAGTAAAGCTTTTTTATATTAATTCCATGATAAAATAAAAAAATCTTTATTGATTCTGAATATGCAATGCACGATTCTTACTGTAGTTGTCTGTTGAGTTTATAAGCTACCATATTTAGATTTGATTAGCCAACTTCAATGATCATTGAACATAAATTATTAAATGTTTAAGAGCAAAAAGGGCGATTGAATTCATTTTTTAAAAAAAATTAATATATTAATTAGCTTTAAAATTTCTATAAAGATTTGGAAAAACTTAACTACTAATTTTGGTTTAATAATCAGCTAAATACTTTTTAACTTTGAACAATAATTTCTCAACAGCAAAATCAGTAAAGTTTTTTATATTAATTCCATGTATTCATAGGATAAAGCAAAAAAACTTTCATTCTGAATATGCAATGCACTATTCTTACTATAGTTGCCTGCTAAGTTTATAAGTTACTGCACTTAGATTTGATTAGCCAACTTCAATAATTATTGTTATATGAATTATTTAATATTTAAGAGCAAAAAGGGCAATTGAATTTTTTTTTAAAAAAAATTTAATATATTAGCCCCATAGTTTCAGGTTGTTTGGGTTAAAGCACTAATCTGAAAATTTTTAACTTGACTTGTTTAATTATTATTTTTCAAAAAAAAATCAATATTAGCCATTATACTAACTGATTTGTCAAACTTGTATCTCTTCAAAAAAATGACTTTTAGAAAGTTGTACCCAAATAAATATTATTTTTATTATTTTTATGTGAAAGATATCAAGTTTCAAGAGAAATTCACAACTATAAAAAGATTGCAATGATTGTTTTATATTTTGAAGAATCGAAGAAAACAAAATTATTTCTGAATCAATTAATACTTTACTAAATATTATTATCATGATTCTAATCATAATGAATTGACAATACTGCAACACCACATAATTCCAAAACATTTTTGAGTAGTAATTTTACCCTGTTCAACTTTTGCTATTTTGCAAGAATATGAAATTGGTGGTGTTTCAAACTCCATTTTGGTGAAGTTTGAATTTTGCCAATTTCACAGGAATATGAAATAGCAAAAGTTATATGATGCTACCACTAAGGCAGACTTTAAAAATCACTAATTAATAGAGTTACTTATAATATGCTAGTCTCTGTTATATTTGAAAAAAGTAACATGCCCCATGAAATATTCTGCTAATACAGAAGTATTTCATGGGATGTTTTACTTTTTTCGAATATGACAAAATTAGTGTATTATAAGTAAGAAGACTAGTTTTTAAAACCTGGGTGTTGTCTCGAGTTTAAGTTTCTAATTTTTTGCTAATTTTTAGGCCTCAATATTATTAGTCTTAAGACCTAGTTGTTGTCCGAGTTTGAGTTTTTAATTTTTTGCTAATTCTTAGATCTTAATTATTTTAGCATTTGGAATTTAGTTATTGTCTGGGTTTCCAAATTAGGTTCAAAGAACTCGAAATGGGTTTAAAATAACCTAAACAAACCTGTATTGAGTTCCAATGAACCCGAATTGGGTTCAATGAACCTGTATTGAGTTCAAATAAACCCGAATTGGGTTTAATAAACCTGAATTTATTTATTATTTATATAGATATCCATGTTTACAAAGTTGCAAAAAGGTGAATATTTATATTGTAGATTTTTTAACTTTTTTTTAAATTTTAATTTTTTAATTTAACAATTTTTTAATATTTTTTTAACTAATCTAATGATTTTTTTTTTTTTTTTTTTAAACATTCGACAGTTTCGCCATGAACTTTATTAGACTATCATAAATTTTATATTATTAAATATAAACTATTATGACTTTTACAAAAGGTTAACCCTTTTGATACCTACTTTACAAGTAATAGCTTATCCAGTTATCTTTTGGACACCTATGTGCGACCTGCTATAAGCAGGATTTACCTCCAAAATACTCCTTCCTACAAATAAAAGAAATATAATATCACTGAATGGTTCCTACTGGCCCATCAAGACTACTCATCTTCCTTTAAAACTTTTTTTATCTAGATCTAGGCAGAATAATTAAGTTTTTTATATTTATATAAGAGAAGAAAATAATGCTCAAATTTATGAATGACTAAAAATTTAGAAAACAGATATAAAACAAAAAAAAAAAAACAGACAATTCTAAACAAGATCCCAACATAAAGAGAAAAGGATAAAAAAGCAAAAAAAAAGACAGAATAGCCTGACATACATGAAAAAGAAAAAGAAAGTGTACTATTATAACCTGTACAAGGCTAAAAAATTATATATTAACTGCAATATTTAATATATCTCAAATTATAAAGCACCACCTTATTATATGGAGTCTCTTTTCAATACATGTATCTAATGTTAGTTATCTCCAAACTGGGGCACTGATTCTTGTTCCATGACGTAGCACCAAGTTGATAAACAAAACAAATATGTGGTTGCATACTACTGAGTTTATCTGAATTAGGCAGGTATACACAAAGCTGATCTTTTGGCGGAGTAAGCTAAATTGCCTACTTTTTATTGAATTTTTTGGTGAGACCAGCCAAAATGAGAGAGAAAAAGACCACTTTTACACCAAATAAAAGAGTGTATATTTCTTTTGCTATAATCAATAACAACTATAGTAGAACCTGCATAGTACTAAGTTTTTTCGATAAGTGATAAACTCTAAGCTTGTCAGCAAATAGTGTATGAGAACTATCTCTAAACGACAAGTGCCATGCCTATAGTAAGTAATAAACTCTGAGGTTATTAGCAAGATAGCGTATGAGAACTATCTCTAAACAACAGCTACCCCTACTTATGGTTCAATTTCCCATATCTCACAGTTCTAGTATAGTTGCTTGTACTGTTTTTTAGCTAAAATTTTTTTGGAAATTTTTTGGTAAAATTGATCGTCAGAAAAAGTATGTTTATGGTTTTTTTCTTTTATTTAATATTTTTTCTTTAATTTAATAGTTTTTTTTTGGATTAAGTTAATTAATACACATGTGATATTGTCACATGTAAGTAGTGATACAAAGTTAAAATATATTACTATTAATATGAACAATAAGATTATTATCATTGTATCATCACTGTATCAGACATTTATTAGTTATATAATCTGTATATTATATACTACATACATAATCATTATATCTTTCTTACTATTTAGTATTGAAGGTTAGAACAAACAAAATTGCAAGTTTTAGAGTAATTAAAAGTACTAGCCTCACTAATGGTTTTTTTTTTCTTTACTACACAGCTTCCATTCTTTAAAGAGGTTAATCTCATATATAACGTATCTACTCTTTTTCAATAGCACAAAAACTCTTTGCTAGTATAGAAAATATTTTACATTTAATATATGAAAGTTTAGATGATGGAATTGATAGAAGAGGAACTTGGTATTGAATATGAAAAGAATACTGAAGATAAACCTGGTATTAAATATAAAAGGATACTGAAGATAGAGCTGGTATTAAACTTGAAAAGGATATTAATATTGTTAGTAAATCTGATAATGCATCTGAAAATACTAATAATTATCAATATGGGTATCTACCTCTAATCTGCATTGAAATATACTGTGGAAAACATTTGGAGCTTGGGAAGAATATCAAGAGAGATTAGAATATTATACATGTCAAAATAACTTTGCGATTAGAAAAAAGCATGTAGATAATAGTCGTAATCTATGCTAGCACACTTGGGATTGTAAACAGTCTGGTAAATATGTTTTATATAAAACTGCTCTACCTAAAAAGCAAACAAATAAGAGTTTAAAAAGGATTGGTTGTCTTTTTCTGGTAAATGTATGCAAGAGTAAAGGTCCTGATAATGAAATATAATTAAGTCGATATTGATGAATTTTGAACACAACCATCTATTGATTTCTGAAAACACTAGTTTTGCTACTAGCTATCAAAAACTTATCATAGAAATAAAGGAGCTTATTGAAAACTATGTCCTTTGTGATATTGATGTCTCATCTTAGATTCAGTTACTCTGTAGATTATTTTCTAAAGCCACAAATGTAGATTATGGTTAAAAAACTATGTGTATAAGTTTTGTCATACTTATGATATATAGAGGTGTAATACTGCAAAGCTTTTTCAGCACTTTGAAAAAGAGCATACCAAGAACTCTGATTGGTATGTTTAATCATTAATTGATTCAAAACAAACAAATTACTAGGTGTATTTTATATAACTCCTAAACAATGCAAACTTTGTTGCTGTTATGCAGATATTATTATAAATGATAATAAAGTAGCAACCAATATTTATAAACTCTTTTTATGCATTTTTGCTGTTATAGATAATAATTTTAAATCACAAATTGTTACACAGACTATATTGTCTGATAAAACAAGTAAAAGTTATAGATGGGTTCTACAGCAAACAATTGAGGCTACAGCAATTCAGCTTGGCGCTTTTTGATTGATGCAGATCTAGGGCTTGAAAATGTTGTTCCTGAAATATACCCTAATACTTACCTACTTCATTGAATTTAGCATATTGGACGTAATATTAAAAAGCAGCTTGCAAAGCTACTTGGTAATCATTATGCAGACTTTATCAAAGCATTTTATCATTCCTGAAATGTTTTATATAAAAAAACATTTGAGAAATACTAGAAACAACTTATGATTAATTTTTCAAAATTAACTAAATATCTACTTAGACAGCTTGATCCATGTAAAACAACCTGGGCAAAAGCATTTACAGGTCGAGTTTTTATAGCGAGGATAATATCTACACAATGATCTAAATCAATAAATGGTATAATTAAACAAACTGTAAATGAAAGAACTCAACTTCATATCCTGTTTAATTGAATTGAATCACATGTTATAGAAGAACAATTTGCTAGTCAGTTTGTAGCTTGGCATAAAAAACATTATCATATATGATACCAAGTGTCTCTGAAAGACTTTTTCCCGATATATAGTTAATATTGTCTAATTGTATACTATCTAATTGCATATGCTCTCTAACTGTATAAAAAATTTTAGCTTTTAACTATTAACACAAAAATAGTTCTTATAACTTAAATATATATACTGTCTATATGTATAAAAAAGTCTCTAATAAATAGTATGCAATTAGACAGTATTAACTATATATAATATTTTGCAAAAGTATATAATGCCCAAAATTTTATAGTTATATTGATCAAATAAATAAGGCAGTAATATATCATAGCAAAAAGATTAATTTTAAGAATCCATATAAGAGGTTGTTGATAATAAGCTGATTGAATTTGAGTATAACTTTTATCAAATACATTTTGATGAACTTCTTGAGGGAATCAATTATTTCTTAGTTGCTGAGGTTTAGGAAATTCAATCAATAGAGCATAAATCAAATGTTGGACAAAATGTAGTGCTGTTAAAAAATAGATTTTATTTATGCACATGTATCTTATTATTTGATAGTGGGGTGATCTGTTGTCATTGGTTTTGTGTTCTTTTATAGTCTGAAAAAGCTTATTTTCATATTTCTTTCATTCTAAAACATTGGTACAAAAATGAATTTATAAATGCAGTAGCTGTTGATAAGCTATTTCTCAGAAGAAAGTTATTAGAAAAGAACAGTTCAACACTATCTTTATTTTCTTTTTTAGATGTTGCTAATTTGTGGAATACTATACTTAATGAAGCTTCTATACAAGCTGTAGCAAAAGCAATTGGCTGTAAACAATCGATTAAACAAACATTACTTGGGCTTGTCTGTAAATATATAGAAGTAGTCAATTATGATGATTTAAATAATTTAAAGATTTTGATAAAAATTAAGAAATAGATATGCATCTATGAGGAAGCGCAATACAGCAAATAAATTATAGAACAGGAACTAAACAACAGCCAAATTGTAAAAAGTAATCAAGATACAAAAAGTAATCAGGATATAGAAAGTAATCAAGATACAGAGAATGATTAAGATATAGAGAATAATCAAAATATCAAGAATGATCAAGATATCAAAACTATACAATTAGATATTCAGAACCTACTTAAATAAATTAGAAAAGGGTATCTCTTCAAAAAGTATATAAAATTAGCAATTGAAAAATCAAAAAATGTAAACGTATTTCGTCTCATGCTTCTTGTCAATTCAGTGTTAGTAAAAACAAGAAATATGATAAGTGAAATTGCTTTAACAAATGGTTGATATAGTGTATTATTTGCTTTTGTACTGTATAATATATAATGATCTCAAATTGATATAGCAAATTAATGCTCAAATTGAAACTTAGTATTAATGATAACTTATAAAGTATAAGAAGCACTTTTCTCAATGAATTTGATAAATAATCTAATTGGCTAGTCTTATTTGATAGACTGATCAGATTCTTTATTGATTTTATTGAAAAAAGTACTTGAGAATGCCCTAAATTACATTGCTTAAGATATCTACTTTAATCTAAAATTTTAATTTATTTAGCACTAGAGTTAATAAGGCAAAACTTCAGTTATTTCATTTGAAGATTAGAATTAGGTAGGTTAAGTAAAAGGTAACATAAAGTTAAGCTTGTATAATGCATGACTTATTTTCTAGCAAGGTTCTTTTGCTAGAATTTGATTAGATAAAATAAAAGTTCGCAGGCCGAAGGTTTGCGAACATATGTATAGGCAGTATTAGTCTCTGAACTGGACCGTCCAATGGACCACTACTGGACTGAACTGGTCCAGTCTAGTTCTAGTACTTACTGGAACTGGACCTAAAAAATAAATATGTTCTATAAAATCTCAAAATAACACACAGGGGTGAAATTACAATTTCCAGCCTAAATTAAGCTTAATTTTGGCCAAGATTCAAAATAATACCCATGCTCGCTATTTTGAAATTTTACAGTATATAAATAAAATAAATTATATTTATAAAATTTTAATTGTTTGTTGTTAGTTAGTATTGTAATTTCTGTTATAAGTTGTTGTAAAAAAACTTAGTTACAAACTTATTCATTACTCCAGTCATTATAGTATGATAAGTTAGTTTGTATCGAAAATTTTTATGAGTTGCAATTTAAGAATTCTCTTCTCTGGTGAGATATAATATATAGTTAAGTTTGAATTAAATTTTGTATTAGAATTATTATGATTTCTGTCATGAGCTACTGTAAAAATTCTATTATAGCAATTAGCATATACATATATACAAATTATATAAAATGATAGCCAATAAAAATTTTTTAAACAAATTATATGAAAACTGAACTGGACTAGAACTAAAACTAGTTCTAGTAGTACAATTCAGTTCAGTTTAGTTTTTAAAACTAGACTTAAATAGAAGAATATACTAGCTAAACTGCTAAGTACTATATATATCAAAGAAAAGAACAGTATATATTAAGAAGAGAGAGACTATAAAATACCTAAAGTCTGAGCAGACCAACCTTTCTAAGTTACAAGTTAAAAATAAAAGAGAGACCAATAAAGAATTTAGATAAAAAGACAGTTCAAATATAGGTACTAGGGTTGTTGAAACTTTACAATAGTAAGGAGTAAGTAATAGATAACTAATTAGAAAGATTATAGTTTAAAATACAAATTAGATTATTTCAGTATTCTAAAAGGTGGCTTGAAATACAAATTTAGTAATAGCAGTACAACAGGTACTAGTTAGAAAAAAGTTATCAAACATGCAAGTAAATATATATGTGAGATATAAACTATTCTATTAGATTTATTTTGAGAATAATAAAGTGTTCTAAGGAAGGGAGCTAAATCTAAGAATGTTGCAAAAGCCACTATCAAATAGTAAATTACATCTGAGTTAGATTAAGTTAGCTAAATATGTTGTGACCAGAAAGTTTAAATAAATAATTTAGATCTTATTTAGTATAGGTGGGAATATATAAATATTTTAAGATTATTTAATATAAAAAACTCTAACTCTAATCCAAAGCTAACTATAAACTATACTATGACTCTTACCTTAACTCTAACTAGTTTCATATCTGTTTTGATTATTTAAATAATTATTTTTATATTAAATAATCTTATAGTATTTATTTATTCCTATCTATACTAAATATTAACTAATAATTCTGTAATTAGATTATAGATATGGCAAATAATATAAAACTTTTAGATAAACTATTTAAATTAGGCACCAAAAGTATATATGTAGCTTGATATACTTTTGTTATAATGTATAGTATTTATCATTTACTTAAAATATTCTAGGCCAAAGAGGTTACTAAAAAAAAACCAAATATATTAACTATTATTTAATAAAAAAAATTGGTTAAAAAAAATAAATTATATTTATTTTAAAATTCTATACAGATCTGATAACTTTTATTTTTATTTTATTTTATTTTTTTTTTTGGTATTAAGGTGAGATCTTGCTTATATCTTTATTGATTAATTTATATAAGTAATTACATATCAACT